ATTTGAAGATGAAGCTTCTTCTAGTGAAGAAGAAGATAATATAATTTTACAAACTGTTTTAATACAAAGGTTAAACACAAGATATTTAAACACCCGAATATACCATGTAGCTAAATCAAAAGACTGGTAGCAAAATATTCTTCCACTTTATGATCCTATTCGATTCAAAAGCTTTTGTGAATGTTTCCACATCATTTTCAATAATTAGCTGATCTTATATGCTTTCATCCTGTATTTTTATCTCAAGAAAATAAACCTCAAATTTGTGTTGAACTTCAATTAGCTGTATTTCTTTGTCGACTTGGTTCTACTGGAAGTTTGTTTAAAGTTTGTTCACGATTTGGAATAGGAGAAGGAATAGTAATTCTTTATACTAAACGAGTTATGTGACACAAAAAGAAACTTTTGTCAAGTGGCCTATTTTGGAAGAACGTAAAAAAGTTCATAAAGGGTTTGAAGATTTAGGAGGGTTAAAAAATATAATTGGAACAGTTAATAGAACACATATTCTTATGAAAAATGCTTCAAACAAAGATCCAGAAATTTATTTTACTCGAAAAAAAAGTTATACTATTCATTATCAAGGTATTGTAAATGACAGAGGGATTTTTACTAGTTTTGATGTAGATTGGCCTGCTTTAGTACATAATGCTCGAGTTTTTAGAAATTCTTCTTTTTATAAAGATTATTCTAATTTTATTTAAGAGAATGATTATCTTTTAGGTGATTCTGCATATCCTATTTCTTCCCTTTTAATTCCACCTTTTAAAGATCCAAATTCTCAAAAACAAAAAGATTTTAGCCGCTTTCATTCATCTTATCGAGTTGTAGTAGAAAATGCTTTTGGAAGATTAAAAGCAAGATTTGGGGTATTAAGAAATCTTGATATTAAAACAGTTAAAATGGGAGTTTTGTTTACATTATGTGTAATAATTTTACATAATTTCTTAGAAATTAATATGGATATTTGGGAAGTTACTTTTAATAATAATATAGATTATGAAAATGATGATATATCAAATTATATAAGAGAAAATGATGATGTATTAAAAAGAGCTGGACAAGCTAAAAGAAATTTGATTTTTTATCAACA